AATTATGGGGATATATTTCTTTTTCTTTGCTGACGTACCTTAGCAAAGAGCCCTTTATTATGGGCTAAAAATATCCGTTTGATTTGTCTCGGGTATCATTACGCCTTCAAAAGTTATGAAGAATCCCAGAAAACTGTAATTTTTTGTTAACATGGCAACTCTGTCAAACAGTATTGGATGTTGTAGGATAGTGTAGGTTCTAAGTTATTAATATCCACTCGAATTAGTTCTGTATCATTACGCATTCAAATGTTATTAAGAATCTAAATTGCCCGCGATATTCTGTAAACTTGGCAGCACCGGCAGACGTTTGTCGTCAGCGCCATCTATTGTATGGTTAGAACCAAAAATCTATTTTGCACCTTTCTTTTTTCCATAACTTTTAACCTACTGCAGCTATTTCAATAAAATTGGTGACATATGAAGGGTATAATATCATTCTTTTTTAATAATAATTTTAATTTTTTAATATGAAATGTGGCACTGAAGTTTTCTGTAATTTATCTCGGTAATATATGCGTTTAAAAAATTATTTGTTGATCATAGCAAACTAGATAATTTAATTTTTCATATGAGACAATTTTTGTTGAAATGCGATTATCTGTTCAAGAGTTATATGCTTCAAAAGTTGGACTCGAAAACTGGTATGCTTTATTTGAATCATCTTCATCAATAGATGGCGCTGACGGCAGAGGGTTATAAAAATTACATACCTCATTTCTTTCGCCATAACATTTTTCGTATGGCATATATTAAAATGAAAGTGGTGTCACATGAAAGGATACAATCGTATATTTTCTTGTAAAATAAAATAGTTTTTGGTTTCATTCTATTATAGCTTTATGCAGGCTCAAGAGTTTGTAACGTCGCGATAAATTGGTCCTAGGTCCACCTATAAGTATACCGATTATCATATCTCGACCAGTATGTAGGATGGGTTCTGGCCAGTTTTTGGTAAAGATCGGTTAATATTTAGGGGATGAAATGGACCAAATACTAAATTGTTGTCGGCTTTTCTGGTCGCTCCAGAGGCCGCAATTATGGCCCAAACATCGTGAAATTTTACATGGAGTAGGGGATCGGGCCGAAGAATGAACATGCCTGTTTTGATAAAGATCGGTCAATATTTAGCGGGTCAAATGGTCCTGACTTTTATGTGAAAAATTACGAAATTTGTATTCTATGGCGTATATATTTGCCCCTGAAGGACATAGACCCGAGAAGTTGATAGTATATCCAAGAGGAGTGGTTGACCGTTAAATAGATACCAATTATATTGTCGTATGTACTCGGATGTGGGAATTACATTTAAGTATTTATAGGTGCTTACGTATGCATATATTGTATAGTAACCCATTACTACCCATTTTTGCCTTATAGTGCAGAAATATGAATATGAGGATTCAGGTATGGTCAAGGACAAAGCCTATAATTTTCGGTGATGATCACATAAAAAATTTGTGATGAAATGGACCGAAAACTTAATTTTTTGTGTATTTTTCGAGTCGATCTATAGGCCAAGCGAACATCAGAACACATGCCACTGTGATGAGAATCTGGACAATTAATTAGAAGGGCTGTACTGAATATTGGGAATATTCGGAAAATATATCAGTGTAAGGAAGTGGTGCTGTTGATCTCTAATCGGTCAAGAAGTTGCAAATATCACGAAATTTTGACCGGGCTCGAAATAAACATCCTCAGAAAGTTAGAGTTCTGTGGTAGTAGTTTAGGGTATCGTATGGTCGGCCCTGTCCGACTTTACTGCTTCGCTCACTGGTTGAATATGAAATGTAGTATTGAAATTGTCTTTAATTTCCTGGGTAATATTTTTGTTATAGACATTATTTGCTGGTCATAGTAAAATACCAGGTTCGCGGAGATACAATTTTCCGTTCACAAGATATACGCTTCGAAAGATGGACTCGAGAAACGGTTGTGTCTGATTTGAACATTGCCCATTAATAGATGGCGCTGATGACGTTATCTTAAAAAAATACTTACCTCATTTCGTCACAACTATTACATTGTGTGGGAGGTAGTAGAAAGAGTGAACCGATAGATCCTATATTCGAACTTGATTTAAGTTTGAAAGCCATATTACGATGTGCGCTTTGTAGGGTAGGATTTAAGTTTGGAAGAAATATTACGATGTGCAACGTTTGGATGAAATCAGTTAATCTGTTGACGAAGACGATTATGGGTTGTTGGTCTGAACCAAGAGAAAATACAAGGTGTCAGGTTACGACCCGGTGTTACTATTGTGATTTCTGGCGAGTTTTGGTAGTCTTCCCCTATTCTGGTTAGGCATTCTCATTCATCATTTATGTAGTGCCAGGTTATTAAATTTTTAAGAGCGGACTAATACCCATTAATCTTAGGTATGTATAGGCACCTTCTGTACGGGTCACTAAAGTCTAGCTCAAGCAACATAGATCTGCATTGGCTATATGTAGATTAGGGAAACGTAGTAGAGCGCAAAAGTCGACTTTTAGATTTTTGCCTTGGACTAAAAATTCTACTTTTCGATCTTTCGATTTTGTCAGATATGTTCAAAATCGATTTTCGACTTTTACCGACTAAACAACAATAAACAGATAAAATAGAGTTCTGGAACGTGTTATAAACCGAGTATTTATGAACAAAATTGATCTTGAAAGTTGACATTGTGATTTCCTCAAAGATCAAAAGGCAACTTTGGCTTTTAATATTATATTTTCAATACAAAGCAGTAAGGAAAGTAGTAAAGTCGGACGGGGCCGACTATATGATACCCTTCACCACTATGGGTATATTAAACAGCATTATTAACATGAAATTGGATGAAATAAAATATTTATCTAAATGTGAATCGGACTAGATCTATCCATAAATATGTCATTCGTTTGGGACAAAAGTATGAAAATCGACTTCAAACAAATATCTATAGGTCATCCGTTGGGCTATGTCTGTACGTCTAGAAAACGTAACTACGTTATTCTAGACTCAATTTTGTACGTTGTGCAAAATTTGATGTCAATCTGACAAACATGAGGAGTTTGATGTATAATTTACTTTATTTATTTACTCAAATATGAAACGATTTCAACGAAACATGTCACAGGTTAAGTTATACTAATTCCGGTACGTTTATTTCTATCAGCCATATATTGGTTTCTTGGTGCGTCAATTATTTCATATCAGCTATATCTAAATCTCAACTGATTTTACGAAACTTGGCACACTCAATTCTGGACTAAATTTAGTACGCTATGCAACATAAGAACTTTAGCACATTATTTAAATTAAATCGGACGAAAAAATATATATCTAGATCTGAACCGATTTTCACGAAACTTGGCAGACATCATTCTAGGCTCAATTCAGTACGTAATGCCAAATTTCGTACAAATCGAAAGAGATATAGGGACTTTGGTGCACCATTTACATGAAATCGGACGAAACTATATATGGGAGCTATATCTAAATCTGGACCGATTTTGACAAAAATTGGCAGACATCATTCTAGACTTAATTCAGTACGCTGTGCCAAATTTCATGCAAATCGAAAGATATAGAGGGACTTTGGTGCCCCATTCACCTTAAATCGGACGAAACTATATATGGGAGCTATATCTAAATCTGAACAGATTTTCTCGAAACTTGGCACACATCATTCTGGACCTAATCCAGTACTCTGTGCCAAATTTCATGCAAATCGAAAGATATAGAGGGACTTTGGTTCCCCATTTACCTTATATCGAACGAAACTATATATGGGAGCTAAATCTAAATCTGAACTGATTTTCTCGAATCTTGGCACACATCATTCTGGACCTAATTCAGTACTCCATGCCAAATTTCAAGCAAATCGAAAGATATAGAGGGACTTTGGTGCCCCATTGACCTTAAATCGGACAAAAATATATATGGGAGCTATATCTAAATCTGAACCGATTTTTCCCAATTTCAATAGGGTTCGTCCTTGGGCCAATTGAGTGACTTGTGCCAAATTTCATCCAAATCGGATTATAAATGCGACCTGTACTTTGTTTACAATTTAACATCTACAGACGGACGGACATGCATAAATCGACTCAGAAAGTGATTCTATGCATATTCTCAAAAAAATCTATAGCCCTGATAGTCATTAAAAACATTATTTTTAAAAATCCACGCCTATTGATGGTTTATTAAGTTATGTCATTAAACAACACGAGTCATTGTTCATTAATCAATATTTTTGAAAATTCTCGCTTCGAGTTGGGTAATTCCGGAACGGACTAGCTATAAGAACTATTTACTATAGTTCCTATAGTTAATTTTTCATCTCTTTACTTTTTGTGATCTCGTTCGTTCGAATAAGAATAAAATTCGTTCATCCTTCTTCAGATGCTGCCACATTGTTGAAAACATCTAAGCATATGCTCGTCAATTTATTATAATAAAATTATTTGTGACAATAAAGTAGCTAAATACTACAAAAATATTTTGCACTTATCGTCCTACAGTTGAATACTGTTGCAAAATCAATTTTTTTATTCTTGCTCAATTTGTTTATTTGTTCCATCCATCAACAAATCAAAACGGAACTATATGAACGACAAAAAACTAAAAGAACGTTGGAAGAAAGAGATCCAAAGGATCTCTTTCTTCCAACAACAAATCCATCAACAAATCAAGACGGAGTCGAAACTATGTGGAGCAAAGGAACTAGTTCGTTTTCAAAAAAGAAACGAAAAAGATTGATCCGACTGCCCAACTCTGCGCTTTTGGTCCTGGTGGCCATTTAGACAGTATTTTTTTTAACTTTACGTCTATTACCCTTATGCTCTATTATTATATATAATTATTATATAAAAATATTATAAGAAATCCATTGTTATTTTAGGAACATTTTATAAAAAATCTAACATTTTTATTTACAGCTTTTCACTTAAATTTACAATACAATTTTAAACTTCCAACAACAAAACAAAAAACTTAAATCTTAATAACAAATAAATAAAATATACAAAAAAAAAAGTTAACAACTTATCTAATAACTAATTTAGTATTTTCGGCATCTTTAATGTATTTATATTTGTACTTTTCAAATATTTCATTCAAACTATCGATAACTTTTTCATGGATCTCATTGACATACTGGGTATCGGGTTCATCCATTTGTTTGACGACAATGGGTGCGCCCACAACTTGAACAATATGACGACGATGGGGCAAGAGGCCAAATGTATATTGGAAGAGGCCGCGACCCAAAACAATTAGTGGCGATACACCAGTCAAGTGTTTGACAAATGATTGGAATTTCCTCAGCATAGAATCGGGAGGATTGGCAACCTGATCGAAAATATCAACCTCACCAAACGAGAAGGAAGGGACAATGGGAGTTCTGCAAAAAATAATCATATTTTTAATATGGTTATTTGTAAATTATTTATTTTGTTTTTCAACTTACCCCGACCGTATGGCAATTTTAACAAAACCTTTACGATTTTTCAATACCAAAACATAACGTCCCGGATGTGACTCCAATGACTCTTCAGCACCACCTACCAACAAGGCCACAGCATTTGATGTATAGCCATCACGATTATCTGGATGTTTGGGATCATTGGATTTATTGAGATAATACAGCAGAGATTGTTTGGAGCAGGATACCAAACCCCAAAGCCGTAACACTTCACGCATAAATGGTATACGGAAATGTATATCCAAGGTGGCAATTTTTGGCCGAATACCAGGATATAATTTCAACCATTTGCCAATGTTATTGCCCATATTGTTGGTGACACCAGTTCTGCAGGGAGATAAAGGGGAGAAAAACATGATTAAAAAACAAGTAAAAACGTCGTGCGCATTTAAAATGCCTAAAATCGTCGGTATATTTATTTGGGGACATTGAGAATTTTCAGGAATGAGTTTTTTTCTTTGTGTAAAGCGAAATTCCAAATTACAGGAAAATGTGGGTAAGACTTTCAGCATATCGAAAATAGTGGGACCTTTATTCGAACATGGGCCTATATTAAAATTTGGCTGGGAATAAGTTTTTTTACCCACTAAGAACTCAGAATTTCAAATTGCACCCACTTCAGTTGGAAACGGCGAATACAAACCCGAAATCGGCTTTTTATCCACGAGATCCCGAAAAGTTGAATTATAGCATTTTTGTTTGGAAACGAGGACCTTTTTATGAGAGTAATGTCAAAATATGGACCTATATTGGACCATCGAAATATATACAACGTGGTGGAACCTTTATATGGGCCTACGTCAAACCATATTGCAATTTCTCTAAAATTATGTTTCAGGCCTTAAAGAACCCGGAATTTCAAATAAAAGCCACTTCGTTTGAAAATGTGCCTAGGACCATGAGAATACCTAAAATGCAGCGGAGCCTCCATATGAGAACACTATAAAAAATTGACCTATATTTTTGCTGTTTACCCTTGAGAACCTGGAAGAACAAATTTCAGCCACTTCGGTTAGGACTTGACCCAGGACCCTTAGTGGAAGCTATGTAAAAATATGAATCTACACTGACAATTTTTTTTCAAAGAAATTATTTAACCGCCAAATTACAAACACTTTTATTGAAAAAAAAACCTAGGACCCTTAAAACGCATAAAATGGAGTGGGATCTTTTTATAAGATCTATGTCGAAACAAAGTCCAATATCACCCTTTCGAGAAGGCGAAATACCAAACTATAGCCTTTTCGGTTTGGAAAATGCGGCTAAATGTAAATTACCTCCAAAACTGCCAAATTACTGTCCGTCAATAGGGCAATGAAGCGGGGTGGCCCAATTAAATATATTCCTGATCAGAATAAAATTCTATGTCGATTAGCCATATCCGCTGTGGAATCTATTGTGATTTCCGGACTATTTAAGACAGAGTTTTGAATTGGTTTTGATATAGCCCCATATAATGGTACCGTCCGATTTTCGGTATTTTGACGACTTTAACCGAATTTTCCCAACAATGCGGCTGCATTTGGACCTTCCGATTTCTGGGAGGGTGAAAAACATATTTGCAGAAAACTGACTATATAGATCCATTTTGTGACCTCCATAAGGTTTTAGACGCATTTTCCAACCAAAAGGACTGTAAATTCGCATTTCGAGTTCTTGGAAAGTGACAAAGACCTATGTAATATTGGCAATGGAGTGGCATATGCAATTTTCAATACCACACATCCTAGGAGCAAAATATCATTGATGTAGCTCAATCATTTTGATATCCATAGATATTTAAAAAGACAGACTATATATGTATAGTAGAAGGGATTATACGGAAGTTCTCTTTACCAACCCACAGATCTTATGGAATAGGAAGCTCCCTGAAGCGATAATTGAGAAACTCTCTGAAATTTTACAAATCAGAGTTCCCATGGCTCAAGAAAGTACAGCGTTCTAAAGTTATAAATCCGATGGGTCTATTGACGGATACAATGATAAGGATGTTGTCTGAACGAAGAAAAATTACAATCGAAACCTAAAGAATGGTAAAACTTTTTTCCGGGACTTTTGGATACCGTCGTTAGTGGATACCGTCGTGGTGGAGGATGTAAAAAATTGTTAATTTTGTCGTTCAAGTCTTGGGAGACCTTCCCTCTTTTTAAAGTACACATTTTTGATTATTTTCTTATTTTTCAAAATAGAAACTAATAGAAACATAAAGAAGCCATCGTCATCATAGTTCTCCATGGGGGGACTGATTTGATTTTCCATTTGATAATTTTTCTGTTGATTGATTAAATTGCAATGTCAATGAATTTTATTTTTGGTATTTATTGGTCAGAACTTAGATAAGATTATTATAATAATTTAAAAAAAGAAAAAATGTTGAGTGTTTTTTTTTATAATACTGCACCACAAGTAATAACATTCAAGTTGTTAAACTAGGGTTTCTATCTGCTATACATAACTATGATAATATTTTTCCAGCTAAATTGTAAAAATTCAAACTAAAAATAACAACAAAAAACAATAACGCATTCATAAACAGTATAGCTTAAGTAATAAAAAAAGTCAGTATAGTAAAATTGTTAAGTTCATTTATTTTTAATTACAATTTTGAACCTGACCTGCTTGCCATTGAATGTAAAAATAAATAACCAATGTAGAAATTGTGAGAGGAGAAAAGTTAACATGGCTTTATATATTTCAAGGTTTATATTAAGGGTCTATTCAGTAGAAGCTATAAAAAACGAGAAAAAATACTCTCTATAAAATCAAAGTCGGAGGGTACAAAATAGACTTAAAAAAACTTCGGTTCGAATTGAGACACGCTCAAAACATAGGGTTTAATCGATCGACAGACTTTTCTGGTGACGAAAATCGCTGACCAGTATCAGACAGATAACGCAGGAAATATATATAGCAGTCCTCCTATTTTTTTTTCCAAATCCTACTTCTATCTAAATCTAGTTCTCCCCTCAATATGCGCAACATTAAGATATATTCCTTAGAATCTTAAAACGGATCACATTTTTGTCTAAGCGGTTGACACGATGTTAATGGTTTACCCTCCAGCATGTGGATGACTGCATATTAAATTCATCATTTGCAACACTTCGAAATATTTGTCAGAGACTCCCTCAAAATGTATTACTGATCCGAATAAAATTCTATGTCGATTAGTTTAGTCTGTGCAAATCACGACAGTGATTTGAAATATTGGTACCGTCCGATTTTTGGTATTTTGAAGGTTTTAACCGAATTTTTCCAACAATGTAGCTGCAATTGGACATTCCGATTTCTGGAAGGGTCAAAAAAAGAAAGTAGAAAACATTTTGAGATCGTGTAAGGTAACATAGATCTATGCAAAAAACTATTAATATAGGTTCATGTTTCGGCATAGCCTTCCATATAAAAGATCCGACTCATGTTCGGTATTTTGAAGGTTTTAGCTGTGATTTCTAACTGAGCCCTTCAATACCGAACGAGGATTCAGATAAGGTGACAGTTTGTCGTGTGATCTTTTTAACATCCTACTGGAAAAGGTCATACGAGACGCAAAGGTGAACAGAAATGACACTCTGTACACCAAACAACACATGTTACTCGCCTACGCCGATGACATCGATATAATGGGTCCAACATTGCGAGCGGTAACAGCCACCTATGAACAAATTGAAAAGGAGTCTGCCAAAGTGGGTCTGGCAGTAAACGGCTAGAAGACCAAGCTGATGGTATCAACGCACAAGACGTCCAGTTGACTCGGACCAACTGTGGAACTTGAGAACTACAGCTTCGAGGTAGTAAAAGACTTTATATACCTTGGTACCGCCATAAATAAAACGAATGACATCAGTTTTGAAATTCGGAGAAGGATTGTGATGGCCAACAGATGCTACTATGGTCTAAGTAAGCAGTTTAGAAACAAGGCCACCTCCCGCCAGACCAAACTCACACTTTACAAGACGCTACCGTGCTATTATTTGGATCAGAAGCATGGGTACTTGCGCAAGCAGATGAGGCAGCTCTTGGGGTGTTTAAGAGAAAATTTCTCCGAAAGATCTACGGGCCGTTCTGCGTCGACGGTGAATATCGTCGTCGAATGAACCACGAGCTTTACAATTTATACGCGGACATCGACATAGTCAGTCGTATTGAGCTGCAGCGACTACGGTGGCTAGGCCATGTTATGCATGAATGAAAATGCCCCAGCTCAAAAGGCGTATAAAAATGAGCCTACTGATGGTTCCCGTAGAAGGGGAAGGCCACGAATTAGATGGAAAGACCAAGTAGAAAACAACATCTTGGAACGTGGTCTTCCAAATTGGTGGACTTGCGCACAAGACCGACACGCTTGGAAATCTTTTTAAAGCTCGGCTTATGGAACAACCGTTATGTAACAAGCCAGCTAAGTAAGTAAAGTTCTAACTGAAAGGACTGTAATTTGGTTCTTTTGAAGAGTGAGAAATCTTTTTAATAGGAATCCAAATTTTGTTACAGCCATCATATAAACGTCTCACTCCACATTTGATATTCTCAAGTTTTTTTAGCCAAATTTAGTATTTCTAAGACTTTAGGCGCACAGACGTGGCCTCTGTCCACAAAATCTATGCTAGTAAATAGGGTAATGTGATTGACTCACTTAACGATTCATCAACGCCCGGACGAAACGGCTGAAACTAAAATCTTGTAATTTTGGATTTGGGTCACTCTTGGTTGGGCTGGGTTTTTTTGAAAATTCGAACTAGAACGGTACGAAAAGTACTACATGTAGTAACATTTCTATTTGGCAAATCGGAGAATTGAGAAATAGATAGAATAGATATAGCAAAGGGACATTCGAACTATAAGTATCCGAAAAGTACTAAATTTGGTACAAAATCGTAGCATGTGAATGGATAAAGCTAAAAACTTAAAATTTGGAATGTGAATTAAGGTCGCGAAGTAGGGTCAATATAAGGATATTTTTTTGAAAACGTGTACTCATGGCACTATATT